TGTGTCTAGGAAGATGATGCGGGGGGCATGGCCTTGAGTTCAGCAACCTATCATACACTGTCATGAAGAAGCAAAAGAAAGATGGTGTGTGGATCAAGAAAGAAGCCTACCTTCTCAATGATATATCAGGGCAGGGTATGAGGCAAATTATGGCCATCATGGGGCCTAGTAGTGCTGGGAAATGTACCTTTCTTGATGCCTTGGCTGGTCGGATTGCTCAAGGCAGTCTTGAAGGATCTGTCAAAATAGATGGAAAATCGGTCAGTATAGTTTAATTGTCATCTGTTTCTCCTCCTTTTCGATGGAAGAGGATTATACCAAAGAAATCTGATTCTGCAGGTCACCACAAGCTACATGAAGATGATTTCATCATATGTAATGCAAGATGACCAGCTATTCCCCATGCTGACTGTATTTGAAACCTTCATGTTCGCAGCAGAAGTCAGGCTTCCTCCTTCCATTTCCATGGAGGAGAAGAAAAGCGAGTCATTGAGCTCCTTGATCAACTGGGATTACAGGTAAGAACCGATTGATCCTTTTCATTAGAAGCATATATAAATGAAAAGTAAGCTGCTCTCACGGTCATGCAGAGCACAATACATACATACATTGATGATGAGGGGAGGAGAGGAGTACCAGGAGGATAACAGAGAAGGGTGTCAATTGGCATCGACATCATTCAGAACTCATCCCTGCTGTTCCTCGATGAATCCACATCAGGTCTTGATTCTACAAGTGTTTACAGTGTCGTGGAAAAGGTGAAGGACATTGCTCATGGTGGCAGCATTGTTCTTATGACCATTCGCCAGCCTTCTTACAGGATTCAAATGCTTTTAGACCGCATAACAATTCTAGCAAGGTACAAAATTTCAGAATTTGACATAGCTTAATGTTAGAACCGTGGGACTGAGCGTGTAAACCATGATAATGTTAGAGGGGTAGATTGATATATATAGGAAGCCCATCAGCTCTTCCTGCTCACCTTTCTGGGTTTGGAAGACCAGTTCCTGATGGAGAGAACAGTCTTGAATATCTTCTGGATGTGATCAAGGAATATGATGAATCAACCGTGGGACTTGACCCCCTTGTATTGTACCAACGCGAAGGTATTAAACCTGATCAAGCTGCCACGACCCCAGTTCGGAAAACACCAAAAACCCCACGGACTCCTCATGTGAAGATCCCTGCTGGATCAAGGCAAGCCATCAAACTTTTCAGCCAGGGATTCTCTATTGGGATCAGGACTCCTCGAGCAAACTCTGGTGGATTTGATTACAATGATGATGACGATGATGATGAGGATTTTGACAATTCCCTGGAACGCAGCAGAGCAAAGACACCGATGAGCATGCACAGTGGTGTCTAAAATCCACGTCTGGCTTCTCATTTCTACAAAGATTTCTCTGTCTGGCTCTACCACGGTGTGGTGAGAACTCCTCTCCGTCCACCATCATGGACTCCAGCTAGAACTCAAGGACGAACATCAGGGAAAACTGCAATCTCTGAATCAAGAAGTTTTGTTTCAAGCCAATGTTCAACTCCTCATCAGACAACTTCTCGCTCAAAAATCCCTCTAGTTTTTAGCCCATCTCAAGATCCATGTTCTGCTTCCATTGAAGAGTTTGAGATTGAAGAACAAGTCCTGGATGAACCACGTCATGGACCCAAATTTGCAAATCCATGGATCCGTGAGGTTGCAGTTTTATCATGGCGCACAGTCGTCAGTGTGATTCGTACACCAGAACTCTTTCTATCCCGAGAGATAATACTAGCAGTCATGGCACTCATTCTTTCCTCACTCTTCAAGAACTTGCATAGTGAGGATTACAAAACCATTAACAGGCTTCTCAACTTTTTCATCTTTGCCATCTGCTTGGTTTTCTTCTCCTCCAACGATGCTGTCCCAACTTTTATTCAAGAAAGATTCATCTTCATCAGAGAAACATCCCATATATAATGCATACCGTGCTTCTTCTTTTGTCATCTCCTCCCTCGTAGTTTATGTCCCATTCTTTGTCATCCAAGGATTCACATTTGCGGCAATCACAAAGTACATTCTCAGACTCAAAAGTAGTCTCTTGAACTTCTGGATAATCCTTTATGCTTCTCTGATAACCACCAATGCTTATGTGATGCTAGTCAGTGCACTTGTTCCCAGCTACACCACAGGCTATGCAGTTGTAATTGCTACAACTGCGCTCTTCTTCCTTACCTGTGGTTTCTTCTTGAAGAGATCAAAGATGCCCATTTGGTGGAGATGGCTGCATTATGTCTCTGCAATCACATACCCGTTTGAGGCACTGTTAGTAAATGAGTTCAAAGGCAAGGATCATTGCTATTCAGGGAATTTGTCAGATCTTTGACCTGGTCCTCTGGGAACACTGGAATTAAGTAAACTGCATAATAATACTCCAGCACCGAAAGACTGCGCATTCATTGGAGAAGACGTAACATCCACAATGGAAATTCAGTTAGACAACCTGTGGCATGACATTCTTATCTTGCAAGCATGGGGCGTTCCCTATTGCTTCTTCTTCTACCTGGCACTGAGATTCTTTTCCAAGAATGAGAGGAAATGAAGCTTGATCAGCCTATGCATCTATTTTTATTTTCCATGTTTCTGTCTTGCATTTCAGTTCGTAGCTTGTACATGAACCATAAACTACATATGACAGCATCAGAAACTTCTACACTTTAATTGACTTGGAATTAAAAAAGAAGAAGAAGAAGAAGAAGAAGAAGAAGTAGGCGAATAACTAAGAATACATTTCTTTTCTTTAATGGAGCTTTCAAGAACGTGAGAAATTCTGTTCATGCCGTTGATGAAAACTAAAACAGGGATGCCGATCAGTCTAGATGTAAATGCATGTATTTATATTTGAACCATTTTGGACATGGCATAACCCACTAGCAATTGACATTGAACAACGGATATTCAACGAAAAAGAGATCTTCTTGTGTTCGAGGCAGCCGCGATTTAGACCAAGTTCATTGCCACTAGAGATTTTATTAAGATTATTGATTTTAGCTGTTTATAATTTTTATAAATAATTAATTATGATACTTTAAAAATATTTATTTATAAATTAATTTTAATTTATTAAATAATAAATATTAATTATTTTATTAATTATCAACTGTTTTTAATAATTAAATTAAATTAAAGATTTAACAATTTTAATAATCTTAACAAAATTAATGATAACAACCACCATAGCCGGCAATTTAAGGAACAAAGTGTGTGGAACTAGACCAAGTGAGTCCAAAATTATTCCTAATGGAAAGAAAACAACCAAAAGCAGCACCTGTATGATAAATCCGAAGTTTTTGTCATTTCCAACAAAATGAAGGGCTCTTCAAAGGCATTGTTCCTGCTCAAAAGACAGATAGTGCCAATTGCCAAACAAACAAGAACATAAACGTTATTTCTGTGGAAAATAACAAACTCAGAATAAAAGGATGCTGTAGGAAATTCCATACTCCTCATTCTTGACAGTGTTCATAAATCACAAGTTCAGACATGCCGGCATTTAGAGTTTACAAGATTCACCATTCCTTATTACTCATTACTTACTAGCAAGATTAGCCAGCATACTGAGCAATCTTCCTTTCTAGGGCGCCTTTATCAGCCCCTACTACCTTGTCAACCTCTTTCCCATTTCTTATAAAGAAAATGGTAGGAACACTGCTTATATTCCAGCGTTTAGCAAGATCCCTTGCCTCATCTATATCAACTTTCAAAAATACTATTTTTGGATATTTTGCAGCTAAGCTTGTGTAAAGGGGAGAAATGAAACGGCAAGGTCCACACCATGCTGCAGTGAAGTATAAGATCGCCAGGCGAGATGTCTTTGTGGCAGCATTTAACTTAGTTTCAAGTTCACTGGTAGAATGGATACCAATAACTTGCCCTGTTGATCACAGACCATAATAAGATAATTTACCACCAAAATTGTCTAATTATTACCAATAACATGATATTAAAGAAGAGATGAGATTCCAATAGTAGAGTGTCGATTCTTCCAACAGTTTCATCAATTTTATAGCCAAAGATTAAAAACTAAGATTCCTTTATCTCAAAAAATTATAGATTTTTTAGGAGATTCCTAGAAAGGTTTCCCCAAAAAACTACTAGCACCACTTTATTTAAAGACTTCTCAGACCCTGTTTGCTCAACACATTCTATGTAACTATAAATTCTCTTATTTTCCAGACTTCCATTCCATGTTTCTCTAAATTACCGTAATTACCTACAAGGCTACCACATACCATATACCCAGTCTAAGTACTTAATAGGTTAATTTTTTTATCTCCCAGAGATAATGGGAGACTCATGTCCAACCTTTATATGTACTTGCCTGCTAATATAAATTAGTACTTAATTACATCCTAGGCAGTGTATCACCAAAACTGTGCTTAAAATATCTCCTGAATTATTACTTCCATGCATTGAAGCGAATTTATTAGACTCAAAGAGCCTCTTAATGTTTTTGACTTAGAATACATATAGTAGTATTCTATAGTAGAATCATGTCATACAACGTCAGATTATAAGCAACTCAAAGGATAAGCAGCCAGCCAAAGACAACTGATGTCATTTTAGTTCTCACCATTTTATTTGTACATTTTAAGCAACTCAAAGATAAGCAAGTATAGACAGAAATTAGTCTAGTTATCAAATTATATTGACTACATGATTGCATCCTCCCAAAACATATGGCAATAAATGTTGTTAAGAAACCAAGACAATGCATCATATAAAATGCATTTTGGAGCTAAATGTTATTAGTTAGCAAGATTTTAGCATGCTTCAGTTAAAAAAAATAATACATAAATAAATAAAAAGCTTAGATTATGCCAATGGAGCCGTGGCACAGTGTTAAGGTAGAGACCCTTAAATATTGAGGTTTCAGGTTTGAGTACAGGTTTACTCCACCTTTACATTTTTGTTTAGTTTATAATTAGGCTAAGCGATTGATTTCTATTGTGAGTCTCTAATGTGCTGATTGTTAGACATGTATTAAAATATTATATGAATTGTTAACTTGAAGATATAAAAAAAATATGCTTAGATTATGGGCATTATTTTACCACACAAGTGATGTTTAGCAAATTAGATCAAATTTTTGGACTATATGCAATCATAAAAATAATGGAAGCTCTAAGAGGTCTCAGGTTCAAGCTGTTAGCAAAAAACATGAGTCACAAAAAATTAGGGTAACCCTGAAAACCTTAGATAAATGATGCCAAAATGTTGTTAAGATAAGAATTCATTACAGAGAACCTAAGAAAATGGGCATAAACTAACTGTAAGACTATACCCTTCATGGCAAGATAAACTTAGAAAATCTAGCAGATGCAAGAACTTCATTCTCAAAGTTATTAGTTTCAGATCAGTGAATATATAATTTTTCATAAAACTATTTCTTTCAAGTTTCTAAAACACAACTTTCAAGAATGTTGGGCTGAACACAAAGTCCTATGCATGGTCTATATTGCATTTTTTTTTTTTTTTGGGCCTACTATTGTATTTTAAAATAAAGAAGAAATGATATCCATACCATCCTTAAAAGCAGATAAGGCTTCTCGATCCTGCAAAAAATATAAATAATTATAAGCTCCAGAGTAAAGCCTATGGAAATTATATGAAAAAAATGATATAGACAAAACCCCCACCCCACCACGTAAAAGCAATAGAAAACTTTTGGAATATGAACATCAAAGAAAAGAGATCAAACATCAATTATCTGAATTTCAATTCTATAGATCTAGCACATCCATAATCATGCACCTAGTAATAACAACCTCCACTTAGAAAACTGAAACAGGAAGAAGTCACTTGCTTTTTCAAGGCTACCTTCTCCCAGACTAAAAACCTTGTCAGCAATTAGGCAAAGCACTAGAGTTGTTGGCACATGACCCATAAGTTTTATGTTCTTAGAAATGACATTGTCCTAGCCAAATAAAATGTCACCTAGCTTCTGCACCCAGAAAGGAGATACATTTTGTGTTCTTATCATGTTAAGTAAAACTGCATACCTGTTCAGCTTTCTGTCGTTGCCTCTCACGTTCAGCCCTTTTAATCTCCCTCTCTTTCCGCAAGCGTTCATATTTCCTACGATGCTCTTCAATTTTTCGTGCATTAGGTTCCACCTGAAGATACAAATAGGTAATATGTTATTAAGAAAAGTTTTCCATGAAACTTCATTAAGGAAACAAATTACCTTTTTGAGTACTGAACCAATCTCCTCATCATAATCTAACTTTGAAGCTATATGCAGATCATTTGCTGCTTCTTCCCAATGGCCTAACATGGCATTTGCTATACCTCGTATTTTGTATCCTTTCGCTGAGTCAGGATTGATCTAAATAACAGCAAAGAACTTCACATCATTATTATGCCAAACAAAAAAATTATAAATCCAGAGATAAGTCATTAACCCAAAAGCCAAAATACCTCAAGAGCTGCATTAGCATCACGGATTGCAGCATTTGGTTTGTTCAATTTTACAAAGACGCTAGCTGAAAGAAAGCATGTTAGATAATGAAATGGTGGGAATTGGAACAACATAAGCAGAAAATAAAAATTAAACACAGACAGATTTCAAAAAAACTTACCTCTAGTTGCATACAATATAGCTGAAATTGCATTTAACATGATAGCTTCAGTCAAATGATCTATGGCTTCACCAAGATTACCTGAAAAAAGTAGATTACTCCAAATAAACAATAACATTTAAGGATATCAGATAACAATGAAGAAATGTAATAACTCTAAGCCATGCTATACCTTCAGAAATTGCATCAATAGCTTTTAACTTTTCTGATTGAGCAGCATCCTGCGTTTCTTCTGTAACTTCAACTGAAGGGTCACCCATCTGAATTGAAAGGCAAACTTTGATGATTCAGTATAATAGCACATACCAAAGTCCTTTCTACCCAACAAAAGAAACAAATGGCATATTCAAATAAAACATCTCTACAAACACCTTTTGCGAAGGATCATTATCAGGTTCCACAACATCAGTGTTTTCCAACTCAATATCAGACTCAACAATTTCATCATCATCTCCACTTGAAAAGCAAGGATTTTTTGCTTCAGAGGTCTGCCCAGGTTCTGTCATGTTGAAACCACCTTTATCCTAAATGTGGAGCATAGAGATTAAGTAAAATTAATTGCCTTCTCTCATACCACCCCCCCCCCCCCACAAAAAAAAAAAAAAAAAAAAAAAAAAAAAAGAAAAAAAAGAAAGAAAAAAGAAAAGAAATTATTCTCATGATAATTTACCCAAAAAGAAAGAACAAAACAAAATCAAAACAGACAAAGCTAAGCAAGCAAGTGGACAGCTACGTTCTATGTACTAAAACTAAGACAAGCAATAGCCTAAGTTCTAGATAAAAGAAGAACAGCTTCAAAAAATTATAATTTTTCTGAAAAAAGTAAACCCTTCTGTGGAGAATGTTAATCTTACTGTTTCTGGGTCAGGTGGAATTCGAGCTCCCAGACTGCAATCAGAAAAACACAGAACTGAAAATTGCAGATAAGTATATTAAAGAAAAATCTAAAAGCACGAGAGTGGAAATTTACCTTTGGAGATAGGACTTGAAGAAAGAAAGAGATGGGTTGTGGAGAAGAGAAGGGTTAGACTTGCAATGATCGACAAATAGCTTCAGTTCTGCTACTTTTGAAGCATCCATGGGCGTTTATGCTATCTTACTCCTTTTTGCCTTCCCTATAGAATCTAGAAATGTAATACTGGTGCTGGTAGAACCTAAAAGTGAGGGGACGGCGGTGACGGTGGTACCCACTGGATTGGATTCTTTATTCCTGAGTCTTAACGAAGTGGACGGGCAAAATCATATGCAAGCCCTTATACTTTTAGCATTTTAGCAGAATGGTGCCCAAACAAAAAAAACGAACATATAAACCTTCAAACCCGTTAATTGCATCAAATCAGCCCTCCGGCAGGTTAACCAGCCCTGATGCAACACTAAGCCTCCATTTGGTATGGTTGCAAAATTTATAAAAACCAAAAGCCACAATTATATGTACTAAACAGAGGTTCAATTAACAACTAAAAATAGTAAATCTAAGGTTGTAAAATGTGCACCTAAGAGTTATTCGATGCCATTCCGCTTTGCATTGGCCTTTATGTGGAGTTCAATGCGTTTTGCACCACCTTGATTGCTTGAGAACACCCAACCATTACTAAGTGTGTGCTTAATTGTGCCTAAAGTGCCTAAGAATTTTTTTCCTCCTTCTAACAAAATGAGATGACATTGTTTCTTCTAATAGAAAAAACATATTTTAAAAATCCTATATAACAACTCAACCCACCATTAATACTATCCGCTTTGACCCACTGAGACTCATGGTTTTAAAACACGTTAAAAAAGATTAAATGGTGTTGACCTAAATAATACTTAAGATTTCTCCCATGCTTTATTGATATGAGATTTACCTAAAGTGTCACACCTTAAATGCCAAATCATTAATCTATTTTCCTTATTGTCATCCCACTTTTTGTCTCTCCATTTTCCAAATCTAAATTCTCATCCCTTCATGCATATCAATACAAAGGAACCTTAAACACCAAATCAATTGTCCCTTTTTCTTGCTTCGTCTTTCCATTTCCCTCATGGCAAAGTCGATCTTATCCTCATCCCCTTTCTCAAGTGCTTTGTAATCCTCATTCTAAACACATAACAAACTCCTTGAGTTCCTAATTTGGTTCGAGGTACGCTAGGCTTATAATTTCATGGAAAGCTTTGAGCTTTTATGCTCAAGCCTAAAAATTTGTTTTATAATTTATATTCTTGTTGTAATTTGAATTAATTCAATCCCTTTCTTTTAAGGCTAAAAGTCTAAAGATGATTTTAGTAAGGTTTGATTTTGAATATTTATTCTCCAGCTAAATGCAATAAATAATCTATTAACTATGTGATTTATTTTAATTTAGTCTAGAAACAATTTTTTCTTTCAAAATGATCTATAAACTATTAATTTTATATCAAAATGTTCTACTTGACAACCATCCATTAACTAGACTAACGGAATTCTTTCTAAATGTTGACATGGTGCCACCTAATCCATCACTTGCATGCCATGTGGCCCCAAAACACACAAATGGCAATTGCTATAGACAAGTTGCCTCCTAAACTTTTGAAAAATATTAAATGTAGTATATATATTTTTATTTTTTGCAACATTTTGTTTTTGAGGTTTAAATTTTTTGTCAAATGTAGTAATTAACTAAGATGAAATTTTAATTTACATTAATTAAGACTCTAATTTTAATTTATAATAATCAATATTATAATTTAAATTTTATTATTTCTAAAAAAAATTAATTCATATTAAATATTAATATTTTTAACAATAAACCCTTCACAAATTTAATTTAATTAAATGAGCACCCCACACATAATTAAAATTACCTGAAAAGATAAAAATTAATTTCAATTTTATAAATCCCCAAATGAAAATCATGCATGTGTTATTAGTGTTGAAAATAAAATTAAAATTTTTTATTTTTCTATACAAATTAGTGAAAAATATATGTAACTTAATAATTATCTTAAATTTTTTTAAAAATAATAAAATTTAAATTATAATATTGATTATTGTAAATTAAAATTAAAATCTTGATTAATGTAAATTGAAACTATTATCTTAATTAATTATTACATTTGATATAAAATTTAAATTTTAAAAACAAAATGTTATAAAAAAAAATATATGTATTATATTTAACATTTTCTAAAAGTTTAGAGGGAAAACTTTTCTACATTTGCTTTATCTGTGTTTTGGGCCATGTGTCATGCAAGTGACAATTAGGTGGCATCACTAAAAAGTATTCTATTAGTCTAATTAATGGATGCTTGTCAAGTAGATCGTTTTGATATAAAATTAATAGTTTATATATCATTTTAAAAGAAAAAATTATATTTAAACTAACTAAAACAGACTACGTAATTAATAGGTTATTTTATGAATTTAGCCTTTATTCTCCCATTATAGTCTTGAATTTCTTATTTATGTCTATAATGCTTTGTTATAGACTAAAACCTAAACTTGAATTTCTTGTTCTTGTCTACTTTGTCCAATCCAATCCTTTGTTCCCCCCCCCCCCCCATTTTCTTAGTATTATTAAAAAAAAAATTTCAATGTGCTCTAGGCTTTAGGTGATGGGCAGCCAACCACAGCCCCTTAGTACTTTCCACAACATTGGGTGAAACAATAATAGATTAAAGGTGGGACCTTAATCTTTTAAATCTTGGATCTCAGTCTTTTTCTACTAGAAGGAGATTTTGGTACGCCCTTTAATTTCCCCTAAAATTTTGGTTTGTGTCTTCTTACTTTTTGAAATTTTTTTAGGCCACGGTAAGGCCCGTCCCCAACCATGGCACAACATAGTTTCGGCTACCGAAAACAAAGAACTTGCTTGGTTTGGCGGTTAAAAATGGTTGATAGTTGTAACTAATAGAATAGTTAATGTATATTATTTAATAATTTAAAATTAATTTATAAATTGTATTTCATAACACCTTAGTTAATTATTTAAATATATATATACAAATTAATAAAATCAATCAGACCAAACACACTCTAATTGCTACTAATAACATGAGAGCTAAACCCAGCAAACAATGCAAATTGGGTGACTTTGGATTGAGTTATCTCAAATTTTGAATTTATTAACTTGAGTTATTTCAAATTTTGGATTAAAGAAAGTAAGTTCATGACTCATTCACATGGATCTTAAATTAGATTAAGGGTACATTTGGCATTGCAGTTGGAGGCTTTTTTGTATAGCCATATAGTGTTTTTAGATATATATATATATATTTTTGGTAATTTTTTTTTAAACTGTTTTCTAAAAACTATAAAAAGTCACAACAAATTTATAATAATTTTGTATATAAAACCAAAAACCTTATTTTGGAGCTTTCTAACTGTGATTTTACAAAATAAAACATAATATTTAATATAATTGTAAAATTACCCATTAAAACCCAATTTCGTATAATTTAATTACAT